AAGAAGTTGCAACTTGATTGCAACTCCTTGTAAATTTATTTTAATATAAAAAGTCATAAATAGTTGCAGTTCAAAGTATTGCAACTTAAGTTGCAACTAGTTAAAAATTTTAAAAATAATTATGGAAACCATCTTTAGACCATATTGTATAATTATTTAATAAATTTCTATAGGAATTAATTAGTGTTGAATTACGGATTACTTAATGTTGAATCTAGGATTAATCAGTGTTGAATCAGTGATGATTAATTCATTGATTCAATTTATTTAATTTCTGTTATTCAAATTTAAAATTGCAATGTGAAACTATAAAAACTGCGTAAATTTTAAAGTTGTAAAAATTTCAATTACAAAAACTATAAATTTTGAAAATTAGATCATTTCTTTGATTGTTGCATAAAAATTAGATACTTTGACAACTTATTAAACTAATTAAATACTGATATATTTCAATAAAATTTTATATAAGAAAAGTTTTATTGCGATTTTATTTCATTAATTGTTTAATATTTATATTACCAATTTTTAAATCTTTTCAAAATAATAAATACTAAAAATGCCTACTACAATTGAATGGTCAGATAATGAAATGCAATACTTGATTGATTTAAGGAGGGAAAAAAATGAAGATTACTGGAGAAGATTTGAAAGATCAAAGTTACCTTTTTGAAATAAGATTGTGGTATAGATTCAGGAAAGATTCATGACGGTATTTAATGGATTGCAGGCAAGGGAAAAATTTAAAGGAATAGTCAGGAATTGTAAAGTAAGTAAATTAATAGTAAACAAAGAATAAAATGTTATATTAATTGTATTTTACAATAATAATTTAATAATTTTAATTCTTTAGTTATTTGAATTATATGTTGATGAAAATGCGAAAGGAAAGTAAATGCATATTGGAGAAGTTTTTGGGAAACAATTTGAAATCCCATTTTGGAAGAGATCAGGTTGGAATAATAAAACTTTCCAATTGATATTAATTGAAGAAAAATCATTATTAAAATTCAATATTTTTGTTATTTAGTATCTTAAGTTCAAGAAAGAAGACATGCAAGATTGGCTGTCAGAAATCAAGATAAGAAATTTATTTAGTTTAATTTCAATATTATTTTAACGTAAATTTAAATTTAAATTTTTTAGAATCATCAACTTCTCTTCCTAATAACTCTTCACAATTAGAAACCCATAAACCTCAATAATCCGTTTTTTTTAACTATTTTCACTCTTTTTTTCAACTATTATCACTCTTGTTTTTATTTTCATAATTTTTTACAACTAGTCAATCTTTTGTTTATCTATTCATTATTTTCGCTTATCCCTTTTCACTCAGTTTTTTTTATAATTTTTTTTTTTTGAATTTCATTAAAAAAAAACCTGAATGAAGCTTGTTACCTCTATATGGTATTCAGGATCAACAGTTATAGGTTAATCTATATCTGGCTAAGAGCAAGCATACCTTCGTAACTTTAATTCATTAGTTATTTTTATTATTTAAATTTATTTGTTTTACATTATTCCAAACTTATTATATACTGAATTTGAATATGATATTTGGTATTACTATATAACAAATAAATTGTTAAAATTCGGTATAGACTAAAGATGGGAACTATAATTAATATGTTGCAACTTTTAATGTTGCAACTTACGTTGCAATTAGTTTTAACCTATATATGTTGCAACTTATAATGTTGCAACATATGTTGCAACTAATTTTTGCTTATGTTGCAACATTTTGTAAATTTGAAATCAATTGCTGTACCATCTTTAGTATAGACGTTACCAAATTTTCTCATATAACGAATTTTGACCTCCAAAAATGGAGATTCGTTATAGTGAGGTTCAACTGTAACAAAAAAATTACGAAAATAGAATGATAAATTTTTTTATAATAAAGTACATTACGATTTTCATTATATAAAGTCACGTGATACATAATTTTACTATTAAAAAAAAAAACAGCGGGCTGGGTCAAAATTTTTTTTTGCTGGAGTTCAGTAATTCATCATACAAATGTTATGTGATTTCTTTGTTGCTTAGAAACTAAAAAAGCTAACAAGCCAATCCTTTAGCGAGACCTATTACATGCGACAAATTAAAATTAAAATTAACATTTTATTTATTACATACTATCTTTTAGGACAATAATTGGATAATTGTCAATATTAGCACGCTGATCGACATTATATTTCCTAATGAAAATATAATATGTATTGTGGCTATATCGGTCGAAGACCGATATAGTTACTCCACGTTCATTTAAATTAATTAAATTAAGTATCATTTTATAAATATAGTTCAAAAGAGCTATCTGATAATTATTTGTTCGTTATTGAATTATTATCTTAATTAAATATAATGTCGATCAACGTGCTAATAATATTACATAGACCGTGTAATAATATTACTCGGTCAGAAGCATTTAAACATTTAAAAATAATATACCCAACAGTAGTTCTTGGCGGCTGTGGATAAAAGAGTAATTTTTTTTCCAGATCAAATTGCTATTTTAAAACATCATTAAAGAAAATTTCAAAACGATAAACAATATTTTGGTGATGCATTAGATGGCATAAAGTTTGAAGCTCAGGCAGTGCAAATTGGTAGCATGAATGTAAAAAAGGCTAATCCTTATGAACCTAAGAATCTTTAATATTGGATCGCGACAAAATCGATTCATATTTATTAAATCATTACAATTCATTGAAGAGAAACGTTTTAAAACATCCGAATGAATTTTTTTATCGAAAAGAAACTATCGGTTCTAAAAGAGATTCCGAAATGGTCCTTTTCATTGAAAAGAAACCATTTTTCAGTTTTAAAAGCATCCCGAAAATATTACCTTATACCGAAAAGAAACATTCGGTTTTTTTTTTAAAATAAATCCGAAAATGGTTCTCTTTAATAAAGAGAAACCGTTTTTCGGTTTTTACCGAAAGTATTTCTTTATCAAAAGAAAAACCAATTTTCGTTTCGAGAAACGATGATGTTTAGTTATTATTTAATAAAGAAACTAAAAGGTACCAAGAATTTTACTTTTTTACCAAAAAGAAGCTTTCGGTTCTAAAGAACCAAAAATAAATTTTCTTTATTAAAATACCGTTATTTCGGTTCTCAAAGTATCCTAATCTCCGAATCTGATCTAAGAATCAACCTAAACCGAAGTATCGAAATCCAGATCCGGAATCCAATTGACCCGAAACCGAAGTATTGGATGCCAATAAAATCCGATACTATCCGATTAATCGAATACGCGAATTCCATAAAAAACTTTTTTATTTTAAAAATAATGAGACTTTATTATAATTTGTAATCTTGCTACATAAATTATAATTTTTAATATATAAAGTCAACTTTTAAAGTATACAAATTGGTTAATTTCAAATCTTTTTAATATATAATTTTATCTTGGATAAATTAAATTTCGACCAAAAGGCTTATAAATTTTATTTTTGATTTCATATATTGACATTTAACTTTTATTATTCTTATTGAGAAACACATAAGGATTCGTATTTTGAGAACAAAAAGAACTTGTTTTTATCAAAATCTCCAAATTAAAAAAGAAGTTAGTCCACAATATAATTTACTACAAACTTATCAATTTTGGCTAGCATTGTTCAACATATTTAAATAAATTATATATTTCTTCTTATATCCTGATGGATAATCAAAAAAAAATTATCTTGGAAATTTATTATAGTAATTGTAATTGTTTCCAAATTAATGAGCGAAAATAATAGAAATAATAAACGATTTTTGTGAAATTCGAAAAATCAATTAAATTTTGTATCAAACTTTTCACTTAATTTAATTTTTTCATTAACTTGTATTACTTAAACGTTGAGAAAAAATTTCCTTTTATAAATTTGCTTCAGATCAGAATTTCGGCGAAGGGAGAGGAAAACTTCGGGTGGTTAAGCAAAAAGAAGTTTGCCGAATGGTAGGTCAAAGTCTGATGCCATTATTTATTATTTTTTTTTTTATTTTAACTAACTACTCGTGGTTACAGTCATAAGATCCATCAAATGGAAATGCCCCATTAAAAGCTCTCGGTATTAAATTTTTTTTTATGATATTGAACACAAATGCAAAAACCTGTATTTAAACGCCAAGGAATTAAGTTTTACACAAATTGGTAATCGGCGGATTCCAAAAAAAAATCCGTCATCGATATTTAGCTAATAAATATGTGTATAAGTTGATGAGGAGTTTCGTTTGAAATATTACGTTTCGGTTGAGCAAACATTTATTGTTCAAAAGTAAAAAAAAAATCTTTTTTCCAAAAAAAAAAATTTCAAGCTGACCCAACGCTAATGATCATAAGCAATTAGTAATGGTCGCACTGTCTCATGTAAAGAGAATAACCTAGATAATAATTAAACCTAAAAACCGTATTTATTTAAGTGGTGATACCATAAATTACACTTATAATAACCCTCATTTCCGAAAAAAAATTTACATTCGAGTCTGGAACAGTCTGGCCTGTTCTTTTCGAGCATTTTTCTTGCGCCTTTGAATCAGGACGCAAAAAAAGGAAATAACCATTATAAAATATATTACTAAAAAAATTTACAATATTTATTTATACAAATAAACTTTAAAATGACGACAATCTGGTCAGGTATTATCTGTTTGTGGGTTTATTTTTATTCATTTCTTTTTTACCATATATCCGATATCAAATTGTGGTAATACCTATCTATCGTTCCAAATTTATGGATGTGAAAGAATGCATCCAAAAAAATTTTTTTTTATTTCAAAATTTTCGGATTACACAGTAAAGCGTCTACTTCTAAATGAGGCACAATTAAAATTTATATAAGGAATTAAAAATGAATGGACTTTGCAATTTTTGAATGTTTTTAAAAAAACATTTATTTTTTTATTATCAGATCAAAAAAAAACCCCCCATTTTTTATAACATTCATTTAAATTTATATATAATATACATATACATATACATATATTTATAATAATTTCGTTAAATAGGATACATGTCCCTACTTGGAAAAGAAAATACTGACCCACATGACCCTTATACCGATGAACTTCCAGTTGCCGACCTAATTTACTCCTTTGACTGGTCAAAAACTCCGCTAGGGGCCATGTCAACATGGGAACCTACCTTGAAAACTATAGTTGTATGTTGTTTTTTTTATCTTTTTGTCCATGTTACAAAATCGAATATTTGGTGATAATTGAGGGGTCGTTCGTTATCCCAAGAATTCTTTCGTCATTTATTTATCAATCCCTTATGTAGGATGTATGTGTGAACTTAAACTTTCCTATTGGCATTTACTATGGTCCCGAATTAAGGTTAATATATAATCAAAGTAAGTGCTATGCATCTATTTGATAATTTTAATATTTTCGCGTGATATTTATTTCCCTTCTTAATCATACATAGTGTGGCGGCCTATTCTGAAAATGAAACATCCAGGTACGGGCGTGTCCTGATCACACGAATTTAGTTCTCTAAAGCCTTAATTAATCGATTCGTTTGATATATATATGTAGCATTGGGCCTTCCCGCTAAGGAAGTGTGGTCCGAGATATACGATGTTATAGGACCCATGTTTGATACGTAAGCTGTCTTTAATAAAACATTCGCGTCCATCAATCCTTTTCCATTTGATAACCCTTATCATTCATTCTGATTCCAACTGATTTGCACCACTAATTCATTTCGATTAGCGTGATTTCAACTGCAAAAGGGAACTTCCAAGATGATACTTTGTTATTAATGCATCGAGAAGGATACGTCGAAGAATGTTATTTTTCATTTACTTTTAGTCCATTATTTAAGAGTGATGGAACTGTTGGAGGCATTTTTAATGCTGTCCAGGAGACGACAAAAAGGGTCCTGGCGGCTAGAAGATTAAAGACTCTGGGAGATTTAGGGAATAGAACTACTGGTAACGATTACCCACAATTCGTCTATCCCGTGATCGTGTCAATATACCATTTTTTTTCTTCCTTTTCCATTTCCTTTTTTTTAAAAAAAAGCAAATAAATAATTTTTTAGGTGCAAGATCAGTAGATAGCGCCTGTCATCTGGTGTTATCTGCTTTAAGAGAGAATGTAGCCGATCTGCCATTTGCCTTGATTTATTACTTGGAAACTAACAATAAAAAAAAAAATGCTAATTTAATAGCAACAACGTTTGATGAAAATTTAGCAACAATGGAAGGAGAGGATGGTAATGAAGAATTATTTTTTAATGGGCAATCAAAAAGAAATCTCCCAGATTACTTGTTGGAAACACCTGATATTGTTGAGATACATGGTGATCATGCAAATGTAAGAAGTAAAAAAGAAATAATGGATAGTGAATGTATCATCACTCATACTTGGCCTTTACAAGAAGTTGCTACCAAGAATTCTCATGTTATTGTAAAACTTAAAGATGGTTCCAAAGCGATCCTCTTGCCGGTAAACACGTCATTTTCTGGAAAAACGGATGTAACTGCTATACTAATATGTGGACTTAACGCGAGAAGAAAACTTGATAACGATTACTCGGAATTCTTACATGTAATTAGAAATTTCTTTCCCGTTACGTTTTATATATATAGTAATTTATCATATAATTAATTTTATAATAAATTTATAGCTTGTAGTCGGTCATGTAAGTTCGGGTTTATCACATGGGAGATCGAGGGAAGAAGAAAGGAAACAAGCCGAAATTCTCGCGGATCTAAATCGACAAAAAATTATGTTTTTCCAAAATATTAGTCATGAGTTGAGAAGTAAGTTGTTTCTTTTAACATAGTCATTATAATATACCTATCTAACTAATTGAAATTTAAATTCACAACTTTATTATAGCTCCTTTGACTTTGATGCTTTCACCATTAGATGATGTGATATCAAATATTTCGGATCATTCGCAAAGTTTAACCCATCTTCAAATGATAAGACGTAACGCTCGTAGACTACTTAAACTTGTTAATACATTATTACAGGTTTGTGCTTATATTATAATAAAAATATACCTTGTTTGAACGGAATTAATACGTGTAGATATTAACTTATTGAATCTTAAGTTTTCTCGAACCGAGACTAGTAACTTGGAAGCACAATTTCGTGAAACCGAAATCGCAAAGTTTACTTCAGAACTTGCTTCAAGTTTTGAGAGTATGGCTAAATCATTGGATGTGACATTTACTATCGATGTACCAGATCAAGTTGAATTAGATCGACAATTGACTAAGAAAGTTTTTATTGATCGAGATATGTATGAAAAAATTTTATTCAATTTATGTAAGTATAAATGTTTTACTTTGATCCTTTTTTTTTTTTTTTTTAGAGTAAATTTGTTAACGTGTAATATTATTTTTACAGGTTCAAACGCTTTTAAACATACTTGGAGTGGAGGTGTTACGGTCAAGTTATATTCAGATAATAAAGATGGTAAAGAATTTATTGTGCTTCAGGTTACAGATACAGGTATTAATTTTTTTATTGGCGCAAAATATTCTTTTATAAATTTTATTAACATGTACCTATTTGTGTCGTCGTCTTTTTTTTTAGGCGTTGGTATACCAGAAAATCACATTTCTAAGTTATTTCAACGTTTTTATCGCGTTGAATCGCGCCAATCACGGAGCCATGAAGGAACTGGAATTGGTCTTGCGCTTGTGCAAGAATTAATTCAACGTCATGGCGGTGATATATTTGTGGAATCTGTAGTGGATCAAGGTAGTACGTTTAAAGTCTGGATACCTACTGGATGGGAACATTTACCACCGAAAAAAGTTTATTTTGGTGAAGAATTATTTGAAAATGTTCGGGATAAACAATTATTTTCAAGTCGTGAACTTTATATCGAAGAAGCAGAACAATGGATTCAAAGGAGTCAAACTGATGATATTGATGGTATTGACCAGAGATCCGATCAAGGCATGGATTTAGATGATTCCATCGAGTCCTCGACTCTCGAAATAGATATCCCTGGAACGGAAACAAGAGAAATCCCGTCATCATGGGATGATCCTTTTACCGCATCGGGCAAAAAATTTAAAATACTTATTGTAGATGACAATACTGATATGAGGTCAGGATTAAAAATTTAAGCATTTTATGCAATTATTTATTAGACAATTTAAATTTTTTATTTGATCATCTAGAAAATATTTATCTGGAGTATTGAGGAATGATTTTGAAATATGCTGTGCTTGTGATGGTCGGGATGCTTTGAAAATTTTGAGAAAGATTGATGTTGCGCCGGATTTAGTGTTAAGCGGTATAATTTATATTTTCTTTTCTTTATGATGCATCGTAATGCCATTAAACAAATGTTGTTGTTACTTAGATATTATGATGCCTAATATGAATGGAATTGATTTACTAAGAACTTTGAGAAATAATCGATCAACCCAAATGATTCCTATAATTTTACTATCCGCAAAAGCTGGAGAAGAAGCTAGTATTGAAGGTATTTATTTTTTAACCTTTTTTTTTTAAAAAAAATCGCATTCGAATTTATTTTTTTATTAATTTTTATTTATTTAATTTTTTTTTATGAATAGGGTTGGACTTTGGAGCTGATGATTATTTGACCAAGCCATTCAGTGCTAAGGAATTGATTGCTCGAATACGAGTTAATATTAAACTTTACTATCTTCGTCAACAACTCTACTTGGAGCAAAAGCGTCAAGCAGAAACAAGACAGTTGTTGTTCTCAATCAGTAGTAAAATTCGATCGGAATTAAATATTCATGATATTCTTTCAACAGCTACTGAAGAGGTTCATAAAATCTTATCATGTGATAGGATATATATTGCTGTTGCAGATCAAAAGGACAGTGCCAATTCAAAAATCTTGACATTTTCAACAAAAGATCCAAAAGAACCAAATTTGAAAGGACAAAAGATCCGTTTCTCAATGGATGAAAAGGATAAATATTTTATACCATTGGCATCAGGAGATTTAGGTCAAAGTAACTTTGACTCACATAATGCTATCCAATTTATTCGACAAACAATAGAAAATCCTGATGAAACTGCTAAAGAATTTGAAGTTTCAGTTTTTCCAGATTATCATTCCCCTGTAGTTAATCGTCATGTTTCATCAATTGTACTTCCAATTAAAGTCAAAGTCAATTCAAAAGTATGGGGATGGATAATTGCAGATAGACCTCAAAACGATTCTTGGTTCGATAATGAAAAGATATTTTTACAACAAATGTCGAATCAAATTAGTTTAGCTATTACCCATGCTACACTTTTGGAAGATAATTTGAAGAAGGATGCACTAATGGAAGCGGCTAAAGCTGCAAATGAAGCTAAAGGTCAAATTTTGGCTAATACTTCTCATGGTTTGTGCTTTATTAATAATATTAATATCATTATTCGTCACTTTTTCAAATAAATATTATTTTAAATCAACTTATTTAATATTAATTTGTAGAATTACGAACACCACTTGGAGCAATTATAGGAGTATTATCAGCATTCGAAGAGACCCAACTTTCAGAAGAACAAAAAGACATGGTTCATATAATGACTAGAGCTTCCGATGTAGTCTTATCAGTTGTAAATGATATCTTAGATGCAGCAAAATTGGAAGCACAAAAGATTACTTTAATAAATAGAACTTTTGATTTATTTGATTTAATGGAAAAAACCATAGAAATTTTTGGTGAAAAAGCTGGTACCAAACAAGTTGAATTGATTTTGTGTTGCGAACCAACTTCTTTGCCGAAATATGTCAAATCGGATCCAGAAAGGTATTAAAATTATGATATTACGAAAAATATAATTTTTTTTTTCTTATTTCATTACTTGCATAAAGTAGGAGAAATTGTATGTAATTTAGAATATCTAATTTTTTTTTTTTTTGTTTTTTTTGTTTTTTTTTAGATTGCAACAAGTTTTGATGAATTTGTTGTCTAATTCGTAAGTGATTTGAAATATTTTAAAATTCCGAGTTATTTTTATTTTTATTTTTTTTAAAAAAAATTATTTATTATGATGTATAGCATTAAATTTACCGAAGAAGGAGAAATTTGTCTTAAGGTTTCCATGACAAATACAAACGAAATTGCCCTTGATGAAACTGGAGCGAGCAAAGAATTTACTAAAGTGAAAAAAGGAACATTATTTGTTGAAATAATCGATACCGGCATTGGGTAAATAAAGATCAACTTGTATTTTTTCCGAAAATTTTTTTGTTTTTTTAAAACATTAATTAAAAATTTTTTTTTATAGAATTGATCCGTCATTTATTAAAGATATTTGGGAAAGTTTCTCTCAAGGAGATGCTTCAATGACAAGACGCCAAGATGGAACAGGATTAGGTCTTTCAATTTGTAAACACCTAGTAATGATTAATGGGGGTGAAATGGGAGTTCAAAGTGATTTTGGAAACGGAAGCCGATTTTGGTTCACTTGGTATTTATTATATTTATAATTCTTATAATTAAATTATGAAAATTTTCCTTTTTATTTATTTTATTTTATTTTTTTTTTTTTAAAAAAAAAAGGATTGTTGAAGCTTTACCTTTATCTGCCATACCAATTACGTCCATTTCACAATTTTCATCTGCCGAAATCTCAATGAACGACGAAAAAACTGGATTAATTTTACCCTCTATAATAAGATCAAAACGTGTTTTAATAATTGATCCTATTACGACAGCTCGAAATGCTTTGGTTAAATTAATTGGAGCTAGTGTAGAGAGAATTGATGCATTTGATACTTCTGATAAGGGAATTACATTAGCAAAAGAATGGCGGGGAACCCATAATGAACCATTGTATGATATTGTATTTTTCAACGTTCGTGAAAATAATAAAGAAGAAATTAAAAAAGCTGCTAAAGAGTTAAGAATTTGTGGAAAAGAAGATCTTTGCGTAGCACTTATGGTAAGTTCTTCCGTAAAAGGACGCGCTTTAGGGCAGGAACTTATGAGAGATATTGAAGGAAGTATTACGACATTATGCAAGCCAATAATGCAAAAGAGATTATTGGATTGTTTGCATAATGATGAAATTTTCAAGTCATCGATCTCATCCGCACCAGAACCGATACATGATTATAATTCTGTAAAATCATTAGCAGACATAAGGGTTGAAAAATATTATCGCCATAAACGACCATTACCAGAAATTCCAAAAGTTTTAGAGAAATCGCCAGTAGTTAATAATCAAATGATTGTTGATGAGACGCAAGAGCAATCGAGTTTAGAAGGATTTAAAAAGACATCATATTCAAATACAAAAAAGACATCCCTGAAAAGAATGGCACATGCTGAAGACCATATTCAATCTATTGATGAGTATCCTGCTTCAAAATATAGATCGCGACCCATTTCAAATTCAAAGTGCATTTTATGTGTGGTACGTTATATCAATTATTTAAAAAAAATATATATATAAATATATATTTTTTTCCATTGCGTTTAACATTACTTCATCAATTATCTAGGAGGATAATCCTATAAATCTTAAGGTATTTATTGATTAATAATTCATTCCAAAAAAAAAAATTTATTACACTTTAATAAGAAATATTATTTTTACAGGTTATACAACATCAACTTTCAAAACTTGGATATCAGACCATAGCGGCAACGAATGGACAAGAAGCAGTTAATTTAATCCAAGCAGAATGTAATTATGTGGATGAAAAATCTTCACAAATCATCAAGAAAGGACTTTATTCCACTTCATCACCATCATCATCATCGTCACATATAGCAGCGGGACATAGCGGAAGAATTTCTTTGATATTAATGGACTGTGCTATGGTAAGTTCACACAATTTAAATTTTACCCCCCCCCCCCCCCCCCGGTTTGGATAAATTAACTTTATCACTATTTTTATTAGCCTGTCATGTCGGGATTTGATGCTTCAAAAGCCATAAGGGCCATACCGTCAACGATATCAAGAATTCCTATCATTGCTTTAACAGCGTCAGCAGTTCAAGGCACGAGAGATAAATGCATCGAGGCTGGAATGAATGATTATTTAACCAAACCATTGAAAATCGGTCAACTTAAAGAGATGCTGGCTCAATGGCTTGGAGAGGATTAGTAAATATTATTCATTTTTAAAAAAATAAAAATCGTTACTGGGCCGAAAATTTAATTATTTGAATATTTTTTTGGATTCCTTTTTTGTATCATAGTCTTATTTTATTTTAAAAAAATCACATTATTCTATCTTTCTGGTTATAATTTCTAATGAATTTGCTTTAATATAAGCTGATATCAACTCTTTATTCGTTTAACAAGATTCTATTATACATCCTTTTTTATTAATTAATTAATAATTTCCCTTTTAAAATGTTTCTTTATCATTTATGCTGTATTTAATAAATACAAACGTTCGTATTTTTAGTTAAGATCATTACGCCTTTTACTATATTTTCGATACACTGAAAAATTAAGAATTTAATTTCAAATATGATTTTTACATGTAAAAAAATATTAAACATAAGAACCGAATTAGAATTTTAAGACAAATATTTTAATAAATATAATTTTTTTTTTTTAAAAAAAAAAAAAAGAATATACAACCTATAAATCGATAATATTTTCATTTTCTATCCGTGTATGAAAATCTCGATTTCTTTCTCTCTTTGTGACTCTAAACCAATCAATCACGTGACAACTGCGTCTCTTTTCATATTTCAATTTTACTACACTACCATTAAAATTTTCAATCCAGTTAAGTTTTTTCCAATATTTTAAAAAGAACAAACTAGAAAACGCGATACTCAAACGAGCGAGTAGTATGAGAAAACTAGCCAAAATAGGATGTAAATAAATATTAGGATAAATTGGGTTCGCAAACATAGCAAAAAAACCGAGAGACAGACCAATATACCAAGTGATGATGATCATATTTAATTTCATATTTCTAAATACTTTTCTTGATAAGTCCAATGAAGAAGCTACATCGATTAAACTCCCACTCAATATTATAATATCAGCATCATCATTATTAATATTATCGTTAATTAATGATATGTTTATATCTGCTTTTATATCGTTATCTCCTACCAATGCTATATTATCAGATAACTGTAACGATCGAGTGACATTTATTTTATCCTTTGATGAAAGTTGAGAATAGATTTCATCTATACCACATTGAGATGCGATTGTTTGTGTGGTTAATCTTTCATCGGACGTTATCATGGCAACCTTTATTCCCATGGATTTTAATGCGCCAATGGTCAGTTTCGTTTCAGGATTTATCAAATCTGATAATGACAACAATCCTATAAATGTATTATTGATAGCTACTAAAATGGTTGTTCTACCTAATAATTCTTGGTTTTCTTTAATTATTAAAGCGGATTTAGGTATTTCAATTCGATGAAGTTTTGAAATGAAATCAATATTTCCAATCAATACTTGATATGATCTCGATGTATTATAAAACGATGAATACGAGAAAGTATTAAGCAATACATCACATTTAATTCCCGTTCCTCCGTCGGTTATATACTCAAAATTACTAACATCAACATCATAATCGTATCTTTCTTTTAATAATTGTTTACTGTAATCAACAATACATCTTCCTATCGGATGTTCACTTGATGATTCAACGGCTCCGATTAATGTAAAAAAGATCTCCGGTGTGATTTCCTTTAAATTCTCATTCATTAGTTCATAATGTGTTAGATCAAATCTTCCTTGAGTCAATGTTCCGGTTTTATTGAAAACAACTTTTGTTATTTTAGTTCCTTCAGAAAATGCTCGTTTCCCTTTAATTAAAATACCATTTCGAGCTCCGATGTCACTGCCAACTCTAATATCCGTCGAGACGAGGGAAAAGCAAGGAAGAATTAAGATGGAAATGCTTAAATTAAGGTACATTTCTAATTCGGTGAATACCCATAAAGTAAATATCATTATTCCCAACGTAATGATTCCAAGGATAAACCATCTATATGCATAAGTCGGGATTGTTGATTGATTCTTTACTTGTGAATCTTCAACAAATTTAATAATTTGTGATAATATGCTATCATTTCCTACACGAAAGACTTGCATTTCAAAAGTTCCCGATCCATTGACGCATCCACCAATTACATCATCTCCACGACGTACCTTTCTTACCGTTTGTTCAGTTACCTCTCCAAAGATCATCGATTCGGTTACATCGGATAATCCTGAGATGACCTTCCCATCGGCCGGAATCATCATCCCTGGTGATATTTTTGCTATATCACCAACTTGTAAATATTCTGTAGGTATAATCCTTTCTCCCGTTATCTCTCCATTGACATGAAGAATCGTTGTTGTTTTCGGTATGCGTGATAATAAACCGGTTACATATTTTAAACTATTTCTCTTTGCTACATTTTCTAAATAATTACCTAACGCAACGCAAGTTATTAAGATGGCGGATGTATCAAACATTATCAAAGGACGTGTGAATGACGTGTCGGTACAAATCGAATAAATCATTGAATAACAAGAAACGATGAATGCAGCTGAAGTAGCGATTACGATCAATAGATTCTTTGTAAAGGTTCCATCTCTAATCTCTTTAAAAGTTGCAAGGTAAAATTTCTTTCCGACTCCAAATTGTACGAGCATACATGATAAGAACGAGATTAAATCACCAACGAATAATCCATGCAACAATTCCAGTTTAATAATACCTAACCCCCATTCAAATTTAGGTAATATCATTGAAATAACAAATATGGGTATCGTAAATGTTAGGGAATAATAAAAGGATTTTTTCCATTCCGATATCTCTTTTTGCTTGGTAAAATGATCCAATTGATTTGATTTAATATTATTAATTAATTTACATTTAAATCCAAAGTATTCAATCTTTTCCACTATATACCTCGTGCCTAATAAAGTTTTATTATAATTTATGATGGCATTTCCTGTTGCAAAATCAATCTCGACATTTTCTATACCATTAACCTTACATAATTGCTTTTCCAACATATCAATAATTGATGGATCATGTAATTTAAGTATATGTAATTCAATGATGTTCCTTTCATCTTCTGTAGAAATTATTATTGTTTCTTCTTGTTGAATTGGATTTGAAGTTGAGGTCGATGAATGATTTGATGTCATAAAATAATCGGTATTCGTATTGGATGATGACGAAGACGACCACGATGATAATGATGATTCATAATTACCATCATTCACGAATATATCATTTGACGTTTTAATATTATTTATATCCTTCATGTCTTTTATTAAAGTAAAAATTGTTTTTTTCCAAAAGAAAAAATAAATTTCTTATATTTAAGAATTTTATTTCGTTTAAAAAAATAATTATTTATTAGAAATATTGACGTAAAATGAAAATTTTAGGATGTTCTATATATACCGATCTTATTAAATAAATCTGGGTAGATTAAAAATAAGTAAAATAAGATATATATATAATAACATGTATATTTTATATCGGTTTATTTCATAAAAAAGAAGTTTTATCTGTGTTATGATATGATTAATATGTTGTAACTACTCTAATTACCGTTTAAATGAGTACCTTTCTGTTAATAGTTAATAAAAGGATCAAGTGAACCGGTACAATTGAGATTTTAAATTGTCTTTTTGAAGGAAATCAAAAGATTATCTTTATCGAATTTTTGTTTAAATTAAAAGTTTGACATACATTTACATGCTTTGAGCATTGAACCTTTTAAACCTTATTCATTAGTTATCAAACAATGGTCAGAAAAAAAGTTGGGGTTAAGGGTATGCACGGGTGAAGGATCCTTTCTTAATTTGAGTTTTGTGTATTTTATTTTTTTGATTGATTTATGATTTTATGAAATGGAATACACTTGTCCTGATCATTACAAATTTATGTCATAGTTCAAAATTTTTTGACCGCGATTTTTTTTTTCTAATTCTCCAAAAAAAAAAAAATAAAATAAAAAACTCCAGGTGACCAATCTCAAAAAAAAAAAAAAAAAAAAAAAAATTAGTTAACCAAGGCTAATTTTCACGCGAACCCGTATAAGGCTAGACAAAATTTGGCAAAAAAAATATATATACAATTATATTTTTTTTAATTGTAGCATTATACAAAATTAGGTTAGAATAAACAACCCACTTTTGTTCATTTTCAACGTTAATCATTCGTTTGACCACATGTGACGTGAATTATAAAATGCGCAGCACATTTTTTTTCACCAGGCTTATTCCTCGGGATAAACATCATTCTTCCTTTTTGAATCTCGCATATTACATCTATTTTATTGGTTTGATTCAAACAAAGAAATCTTTCTTATCGTTGGCGAAATGTGTACTTTAATAGTATCTCTTTTATTGAATTTTTATTTCACATGATTTAAGCCTTGGTAACTAAATTTTCCAAATACAGATGGGAGCTCTTATTAACTGTGAAACTATCGCTCGGGAAACTTGATTGACATGTGGACTTTGTTTTCGTGGCGCATGAAATTTAATAAAGCGCATTACCTCATAAATTAATTATTGAATTATCTTGGGGACTATTATTTTTTTAAAAAACATTTTTGTGATTGATCAAAATTTCGCTTGATCACGTGAATCTATTCGATGATCGCATTTTTTTTAGGTTCCAAAATTTCCAAATTACCTTGTAAAGGATTTTCTGACATCACCATCCGTTGCAATATAATAACGACGCTTCCATAAAAAAAAATTATCATGTATCGTATGATTTATATATATACAATAATATTAAAAAGTTTTCCTTCAGAAATTTAAAAATAGACAATTTGCATTACATATACATATATTGTGATTCTAAAAATAATTAAATTAACATTGGTTTCGTTCACTGTCATGCGATTTTCAATTAAGCTAATCCGTATTTCACGAAATAATTCGCAAAAAATAGGTGGTTACAAGTTAACTTTCATTATTTTCGGCCCTCCTTTTTTTTAAAAAAAAAGTGAAAGATTAGCTACATACGATGCAATTCAATGCTATTTAACTGAGAGAACTTACCACCATAATTATATGGTAACCAAATTTTGTTTTTATCTGATAATTTAAAAAGAAAGCATAAGTTCTTGTTAAATTAAAGAGATCATATTATTATGTACATACTGGTGGATTGGTAAAGATCGGATTATCTATAATGATATAAACTTATCACGTGAGATTTTGATATATGATTTAAAATATTATGAATGTTTAGACTGTTGTCTCACCTAAAGCACTTGGTTGTAATGCGAATGCGGCATCTTGGAATTCTCCTACCATCGATCCTCGATTCATCCAACCTAAACTACCTATAAATGAAAAACGTCGGTCTTGTTTGTTTGGTTGCTCTGATGATCAAACTAATCTCATAAAAATCATGTCAATGACCTCCTTGTTTCGCCTTATCTTCACTATACAATTCTGCAACCTAGAAATTATTTAATAAGTATGGGCGAATGTAACTATGAAAGAAAACGTTTGTAATATTTTACCTTATCAAATCGCATGTTCTCTTCTGTCAATTTTACTAAAGCTTCCATGACCTTAAAAGAAACTACACGTTAACGTTGAGTGTGAATTAGAATAAAGTATTATTAGTAATTACCTTTGAATGTTTCTCACACAGTATATGTCGAACCTATATAAAGAAATATTTTCCACATTAATAGCCTGCGTGATTTCACAGTCGTAAATTAAAATGAAAATTCAAAATAAAAATTCACCTTTACACTATTTGCGGCTTTCAATTTGCCAGCTTTCCCGGAACTTTCCTCTATTAAATGTTGACGTTAGCATTGAATGCGTGTCAAATTATTAGAATAAAGTACATACTTTCATTATCCGCAACCTTCATATTTTTTCCACCTTTGCTACCACCACTTCCTCCACCCTGACCCTTTGTTTTACCCATTTAAATAAACGTTGATATTACGAAATGGTGGAAAAAGATCTTTCTAAATTCGTATGATTTGATTCACATTCACACGCTAAAATGAATTGAATTTCGTTAGATCATTGTGTAACCGGGACAGCCAATCATTTAATACTAATGATTTTTTTTTCTTTTAAAAACCATTTTCCCAACAAAATCCACAAAAGCGTTTTTTTTAACGTTTTAAACAAACAAAAAAAAAATCATAAATATTTTTATTTACACTGTAAACCTTATCAAGCTCTTATTTAAAAATGCAAGTCAAACGAAGCATAGAACGAGTTGAACCCCAGCTATTTCAGGAATTGGTGACTCCTATAAAGAGACAGAAGGCTTATTATGAATGGGAAGTTCTCTTGGGAGTTATCCCTTTTACTTTATCGGAACCTTTCACAACTGAAACCTCTATAATAGCTGATTATAACGTTCGGGAAATGAACCTCAATGAATGTCAAAAGCAATCTGTCGTTCCAAATGAACTAGAAGTTGAGTCGGACAAAATACTTAAATTTTCCGAGGTTGATAATGATGAGTATGAAGCAGACGTTTCTTCATCATCCTCAGATGAACATTCTGACTCTTCCGACGAAGAATCCGATTTGGATGCTTCAGAAGAAAGTGAATTTGAGAATGTTGTCAAAAAGAAAAGATGTGGTGCTATGTGGAGTCCAGAATGTCGTCGTGCGGGTCGTTGTATTTGCGCAGAAAAATTCGACGACTATGATTAATGATGACGAAAACACGTGAAGACGATGAGATTTTGAGGCTTAGTCTACTTATTACTTTCGTTGAACACTTTAAAAGGGCAAATATTTTTGAGGTTTTGGTTAGATAGGTGGTGGATTGAAGATTACGATATGGGAATCAAGAGTATAATTATTTAAAAGGGTTCATGAGACGGATCAATTTACATTACATTATATATACTTAAAATATAATATCTTTAATGACCAGTAATTAGAAAATAATGACTTTGGTTTGTCGAATTTCTTTTGATAAGCCGAACCAAATAGTAGTGATATTAACTAAAAAGATTTGGTAATTATTAGTTTAGGAAAATGAATGGTCTTTTTTCTGGGACTGTGGATACGCGGTTTGATATTCTTCAAGGGTACCGTCGAGGGTAAACTTTATATAAATTGTGCACAAGGGTTTATTGTAATTACAATAATTCTACACGAGCCTTTCGGTGATTTTAAATTTAGTGTTTTTTTTTTTATTTGAAAACTATAATTTGCGAATTTCAACCCTTGATATATATGGTCGTTATTAATGGATGTAGTTGTTGAATCCTACTTTGCAGAAGATTTATTTATCGTCTGACATCATCATTCTTGAATTTCTTAGACTTCAACTTAAATCACGCGTCAATCTTCTGCCACTTCACTCAGAATCATCATTACATATATATACCGTATATATTTCTCTTTTTTTTTTTTTTTATCTTTATAATAGATTTTCATAACTTTGTAAACCAAGTTATTCTTTGTATTTCAGCGAATAAATTATATTGCATTATTTTTCCATATCGTTTTGACAATAATATGATGCCTGGAAAATTAGATTATTTGCTTTTATTGTGGGATTTAAGGTTATGCTTCAAATATTAGTGTTTAATTTTTAGTGTACGAATGGTAAATGTTATAAATATATGAATAAAGGATGTAAAAATCATAACTCTATTAAATTTCCTTTGATCATAATAAAACGACATTAAAAATCATTTTATTTTATAATGATGCCAACAAAGGCGCGTTATCCTTTTATATCTACAGTAAAACCTCTATGTAACGATACGGAAAAAATATCGGTATATCAAGTTATTGGTATACAGTCGACCCCCTCTATAATCACCATGAAATTGCGTGATTATATGAAGGTGTGCTTATACTAAGGGATTTATTATAATTACTTATATGTAAAATAATTATTGATATGATTATATATAAAATTTTGTATTAATTAATTTTAAAAATTTCGAAGAAAATAAGTATAAATTTAGTTATCTATTAGTATGAATTAAACATAAAACCAGAATTAATCAATATCATGAAATGGTCAAAATCAACGTCATCATATCACATAATTATTATATAAAAAATCTAAATAGAGTACAATCTAGGTCAATACCGCTTCGTTTTCTCATGAAAAACTATCATTCAAATCCTTATTCGAATCCTCACCCCTCTTTCTCATTGGATTTTTCCAAGAATTTTTACTCTAAAAAAGTGCCTATTCAACAGCAGCCATGACTTAGCATACAAACAAAACAAAAAACCCCACATTTCAAAAATATTTCTCTCTTTTTTTCCCACATCCTATCTACATAAAAATTTTCAATATAGTATAAACAGTGTTATTTTTTGTTAAAATATTTTTTCTTCACCTCTTTTCAAAAAATTTTTTTCCATTTTTCTCTTTTTCTTTTTTGCCTACTAAAAAGTAGGTATCAAGGTGTATCCCAACTGACAATCATGATCAACATACTTTGGATAAACAAATCTCACATGATGACAGCATACTGGACATTTGCATAATTGGCTATTACACAATAAATATGTAACGTAACTATTTATATAGTTTAAAGTAGTATATTGGTGTCAGATTTTTGATAATTATTTTATGTAATGATAAAAAAACTATGATACTATTATCGTAAACATCATTTACAATATATTAACGAAAATAATCCCGCTAATCATATATTTTAAAATAAGCAATTCCGAATATTATAATGGAAATTTCAAAGCAGTATTTGCAGAAGAAACTTATTGGACCGTG